TTTGTTTTGTTTCTCCTCCCTCCACCCATCTTTATTGAGTTATATAGACAACGTTGAACAACTTTGTTTACAAAAGGAAGCAGAGAAATGGGGCAGTAGGTGAAGGGGTCAATAGGATTCCCTAAAGAAAATGGGAAGAAATGCTAGAGCATATTTGTATGTAGATGAGAGGAAGGGATTGCTGATAGAAGAGAAGGACAGAATAACTGAAGGACCAAAGTCCTGGGGAAGGCTGATGGGTATGGGATTCAGAATTTAAGTAGGGGGCTGGGCATTTTCCCCCAATATATTTTTATCAACTTCAGAAAGGAAGGGAGAGGGAGAAAGAGAAACAACGATGAGAGAGAAGCATCAATGACTATCCCCTGCATGCTTCCCACTGGTAATCAAGCCTGCAACCCAGGCATGTGCTCGACCAGGAATTGAGCCGTGACCTCCTGGTTCATAGATTAATGATCAACCACTGAGCAACACTGGCTGGGCTCAACTTTGTTCTAAAAGTAAAAACTCTACAAAAAGATCCAGAGCAGGATTACTCATACCCTTTCTCTACCCTTCATATACCTTCCACCCCCTAGTGGTAACCAACTTCATTAGTTTTCACTTATCCATTCTGTGCTTGTGCTTGTGTTTGCAAAAATATGCAGATACACATACATAAATTCTTATTTTCAATGTTGTTACACCAAAATTGACAAAAATTATATTAAAATGGCCTTTAAACAAATGGAAAAGATATTCAATTTAATTCACAAGAGAAATGTAACTTTAAATTATGTTGAGATGCCATTTTTCATCTGTCAGAGTTGGTGAAATATTCAAAAGCTTCACCACACAGTGTGTAGAGAGTGGTGGAGAAACAGGCACTCTCATGCATTGCTACTGGAAAGGCAAAATGATGCAACCCCATGGACGGAAACTTAGCAATATCTAGCAAGACCACATATACATTTACTCTTTGGCCAACACTCCCTCTTCTGGGCTTTTACCCTGCAGGTACACATCTCCAGCAGTAATAAAATACATATGCACAAGGTTATTCATTATGGTATTGCTATAATTGCAAACTATTAGAAACAACTCTTAAGAATACATATATGAGATGAAACCGGTTTGGCTCAGTGTTAGAGCGTCGGTCTGCAGACTGAAAGGTCCCAGGTTCAATTCCGGTCAAGGGCATGTACATTGGTTGCGGGCCCATCCCCGGTAGGGGGCGTGCAGGAGGCAGCTGGTTGATGTTTCTCTCTCATCGACGTTTCTAGCTCTCTATCTCTCTCCCTTCCTCCTCTCTGTAAAATATCAATAAAATATTTTTTTAAAAGAATACATATATGGGAAATTAGTTGAATAAATCTTGTTTCATCTACATCATAAAGTGCTATGCAATTATGAAAAAGAATTCTAATTGATATGAGTGATTTCCAAGATATATTAGTAAGTGAAAAAAGAGCATATACGTATATCTGTCGTGCCTCAATGATTCTGCAGCCTCAACAAGTCCTCCAAGTCCAGTCAACTCCTCTTCTCTCCTTACAAGCTACTTCATGTCTTTACTTCCTTCCCTCTCTCCTAAGAATCAATGACTCATTACTACAATCATTCTCTTGCAACATTAATCTGACAGAACCCCAACCACAGATGATCTTTTAGCTTTCTTACATCTTTAACTTTTCCTTTCTCTATTGATTCCCCTTGGGATTAAATATGCTCAAGCTTCTCTAATATAAGAAAGTCTTTGATGCCACAGCCACATGTAGCTATAGCCTTCTGTTTCTCTTCCCCTTCCTAGCCAAACTGAAAGAGTAGTCTATACTCAGTGTTTTTACTTCCTCACTTCCCAGTACTGTCATGTGCTGCTCAATGACAGGGATACATTTTGAGAAATGCACTGTTAGGTGGCTTTGTCATTGTGCAACATCTTGAGTGTGCTTGCACAAACTAGATGGTACAGCCTACTACACACCTAGGCTATCTGGTATATTGTATATGTGGCTCATCATTGACTGAAAATATCGAATGTGGCACATGACGAATTTGTCAACCTACTTCTGTTTATCTAACCACACACCACAAAAGTGGCTCTTGCCAGGGTTACCACTGTAGCTTTCTTGCCCTAAATCAATGGACACTTCTTAGTCCTTATCTAGCTTGACAGTATTTGGTAGTACTGGATACTTCCTCAACAAAACTTTCATCATCTGGGTCTGAGGCATCACCCTCTGTTTTCCTTCCTATTCTTCTAGTGTCTTTCTTGATGCCCTTTGCGTACTCCTTGTCCATCAGGCCCTTATGTTGGTCTTCTTTATGGCTCTATCCTAGGCTTTGGTCCCACTCTGCTATGAGGAAAGGAATCTCACTTTACAAATGAGGAGCATAAAACTGAGCATTTCCAAGGTCACATGAATAGAAAAGGAATATATCAGGCCTGTCTGGCTCCATAGTTCATATTCTTTTGACTCCAACCATGTGTCTACTCTTTTAAAGGACTTAACAAATAGTTCTTGGCTTGGTCGATTTATTCTCTTGCCTTATTTGTTTTCTTAATATTTTTTTTAAGTTGCAAACATTATATATCTCACCTTCACAATCTGGCTTGATTGCTTTTGTTTTAATATAATTTGAGTGTAAATTCACTAGAAACAAGTCATATTAAACCATAGTAATGGGATATACATTAGATATAATGATCAGTGAAAGCCACTCTGTTGAAGTGATATTTGAAATGAAATTTGAATATTGAGAAGGAACAAGTAACAAAGATCAGAAGGAAAAGCATGACCCTAGCCAGTTTTGCTCAGTGGGTAGAGCATAGGCCCATGGACTGAAGGGTCCCGTACTCAATTCTTGTCAAGATCACGTGCTTCAGTTGCAAGCTTGATCCCAACCCTGGTGTGGGGGAGGCAACCAATGTATGTGTATCTCTCATATCAATGTTTCTCTCTCTGTGTCTCTCCCCCTCTCTCTTAAAATCAATGGAAAAATATCTGTTGCACATATATAGTTTGTTCCTTTTTATTGAAGAGTAGTGATACGCTGCATGGATGTACTACATTTTGTTTATCTATTCTCCAGTTGATGACCATTTGAGCAATTTCCAGTGTGGAGCTTTTTAAAAATAAATTATCTATGGATATTCTTAAACCAGTTTTTGTATCGATAAATGTTTTCATTTTTCTCAAGTAAATGCCTACAAATGGAATTACTGGGTCAGGATAGATACAAGCTTAACTTTATCTGAAACTACCAGTTCTCTAAGGTGATGATAGCAATGAGTTGTCCAAGGCTCAGCTGGGAAGATGTGGCCCCCCAACTACAAGTAATTCACAGCCTGGTGAACAGAATGAGAGGGCTGCAGACAGAAATGATTCTGATCTAGAAAGTGTGACCAAAGCTATGGGTAGGGTTGCAGCCAAGTGCCACAGGAAAGTGAGAGGCCACAGGTCAGCAAGTGCTCTGACAGTGTGGACAGAGTAAATGTGTCTGCAGTGTTGGTAAGTGCAGAACTTGGGAAGAAGTGAGGCTCAACCCAGATGAGAATTTGTATAGAGTAAAAGGTGAAAGGAAAGGAGAAGGCAGAAGAATGCCTTTTCTGACTAAAGGCGGGGAATTAGATGTGTTCATAGCTCTTCATTCTTGCCGTTAGTCCCACTGACTCGTTTGTTCATTTATGCAACAGATTTGTGTCAAGAACTATAACTGGCCTTGGAAATGCAATGAACACTACACAAAGCCCACTTCTCAGGGCTCGGTCTGGTGAAGCAAACAACCATGTTGACACAGCATAATACAGTGTGACAGTATCCCTCCCTCCCAAATTCACATGACAGGACAGGCATCTTGAAGGAAGTACCTATAAAGAGAAGTCTGAAGAATGAGTTGGAGTTTATTAGTTAGGATGCTGTGGGCCACAAGTAACAACCCAACTCAAATGACTTTAGAAGTTGAGGAGTAGAGTAGGCATCTGGGTTAGTTATTCTGGTCACTCTGGCTCCATTTTTTCTATGATTCCCTAGGCTGAGCTTTCCTTCTTCAGTTTCACTCTCTGGGTGGCAATTTCAGGTGTCACATCAGTCCTCTCATCACCTAGAGGAAGAAGGCATCTCTTTCATAGACTCACTCTCTCACTGAAAAGAACAATGGATTTACCCTTCCTGAAACACATGGTCTAACTTGGACAGGAAGATGATTAGATGAAAATCTAGGTACTATTAGGAATGAAGGAGGATGAGGGAACAGAAAGAACAATATTTAGGAATGCCTAGTGATTTGTTTTCTCCTCCCGTATAAGACTTGTTTCTGCCGCCTCATACCTTCTGCTTTTCATGGATACTGTTTCCCTGTAATTCTAGCTTTGCCATGATTTCTCTCTGTGAATGCTTTCACCTTCAGCATCTATTAACTGCCTCACTCTCAGTGTTTCTTAATTCAAATCTCCAACTCAAGAAACTAGCCCAATGTACCTTACCATACCAGGCTCCTCCTACTGGAAGTAAACTCAGAAGAGCAGGGACTGTGATTGCATACTGATACACCCCAGCATCTGAACGGTACCTGGTATACAGTGAGTGCTCAATAAGTTAAATATATGCCAAATGAATGGAAGACCATCTTGCTTCTCTGGGCAAATTGTCTGTGGTCAAGGGCTATCCCTCGAAGGGACTGTTGACATATTCCTAGTGGTAGGAGCAGGAATTTATTTGGATCTCGCTTCTGTTATCGTTATCTGAACTTCAGTTTAATTTTCTGCAAAAGGGGACCAATGAAACCTGCCCTTTATGACTCAAGGGTGTTCAGTGTCAAAGAAAATCATGACAATGAAAGTACTTTAAACACTGTAAGATGCCAGGCAGTTTAATTCAATTCTGGTCACCCCCACGCACCTGGAAAGCATTGGTGATGGGAAGATTAGTTTACCTGTTCAGTTCTGCTTTTTGGTATTGAGTTCCCCAGGAGAACCTCTAACTGGCTCTCTTCTTATCCCTTTCTGTTTGCTTACCCAGGGTCACTCAGGATGTGTCAACTGTCTGGAGTGGAACGAGAAAGGAGAGTAAGTATGAGCTAGAGCACAGGGGAAGAGGGTGCTAAGGGAAGGGAGTGGGGCAGCTGGGAAACCCTCTTTCTAGGTCTAAGGAAAAGAATGGACCCACGTGAAAAGAGACTGCTGCTCTCTGCTGTTAGTTTAGTTTAGTCCATCACTATCAATACACAGGTAAACAATGAAGCCCAGATAAGATGGAAGGTTGGGTGGCCATCCAAACACTTTTTTTTTTTTTTTCAATAAGCCAATGCAAAGTTTAAGGAATAATGGCACATTCTCAGGACAAATAGATGAGAATCAACCAATGTTTATAAGATAGCCTTAAAATCTGTGACATACACTGTTATTTAAGTTCTGTGTGGCCTAACACCTCATCACCTGGCAATGTGGGTTAGGGGAAAACTGCCCACGAACTTGAGGAGAGATCAGAACCGCTCACTCTGCTTGCAGCTTGCTGGCCTCTGGTTCTGATGACCAGCACACGATTGTGTGGGACCCGCTGCACCACAAGAAACTGCTCTCCATGCACACGGGACACACTGCAAATATCTTCTCTGTCAAGGTGAGCGGGATAAGCCACAGAGCACGTGAACAAGGTGACTGAGCTATGCATGTGGTTGTGTTTGCATGTGTGGTTCCCAGGTACCCCTTGGGGTCACATACACCTTTGTTCTGAGCATCTGATGGTGATTCCTGAAACCCCATCTCTTTTCCATATTCTTCTTCCTCTCTTAGAGTCAAGAGACCAGCTTTAAATGAATGTATATGTATGTGAGTGGTGATGATGGGAAATATGGTTCTGAGCATGAATTTAGATAGCAGGAAGACCTGTGTGATTCCCTTATCTGCCTTTTGGAAACTATGTGAAGTAGGCAAATCATCTGACTTCTGAGCCTGTTTGTTCATCTGTAAAAAGGTAGTAGCTAAGAAAAATCCCTCAGATTCAAGAATAAACGAGTGAATAAATAGTTTAATTTTAAAAAGGAAGTAGCAGTTCACAGGGTTGATGTTACGTGGCACAGGTGCTTTTAACTCTTCTGGCTTTTATAGGAAATGGGTCTGCGGGTTTTGTGGTGGAAAGGAGAGGTGGGAAAGGGCCTTACAAGTGCCCTCAGACCTCGGGAGACCTATTATGTGGAAGTGGCATGAACCTTGTCCCTTTTGATCCCAGATAATAGACCTAGCACAACAGCTGTAAGTCCACAGAAGCAAAGGCATGCCTGATGAAGGAAAGAAATGTCTAATGCTTAGAGCAATTTGAAAAATGTAGAATGGGCCCTTTGAGGATGTAGCTAATGTATTAGCACTGAGGTGTTCTGCTTGCTGGGAACTTTATCTGCCAGGTTTAACGTTGGAGAAAAAGACCTTTAAGAACCTTTCCAGCTCTGAAATTCTGTTATGGGTGTATGTGAGAGTGAGGCTGTCCTTTCCAAGTTAGTATCAAGAAGAATTAGAACATACTTGAAGAAGGCAAATTCAAGAGCACAAACCCTACTTATTTCCCTAAACCCTGCCTCTTTTCCAAGCTGTGATTCTCCTCTCTGGCTCAGGGACAAATCCTAGATGAATTTCTGCTATTTTAGAGACGGAACAATTCTGATTCACCTCTTTCATGGCAAATAGAGACTGCTTTCTGCCTCTGAAAAGTTTTAGGACCACTTTGATCTGTGAGGTCAGACCTGGGTAAAGGACCTAAATTTTGCATCCTAGAGCACAAAATGTTAAGTTCAGAGATCAGAATTTGACAATGGCCTTTATACTCACTAGTAGTAAGACTTTGAGCGAGGCAGTTATATTCACAGACCTTTTGCCTCCTCTTCTGTTAAAAAAAAAAAATAGTGTGGAAGAGGATTCTTCCCTCTTTGTTAATAAAACACTAGATATACTTACAGGAGTGGGCAAAAGTGAGTTTATAGTTGTTCATATAGAAACAGTGTAATAATTAATAAATAATAGTACAAGAATAAACTTGGTATACTCACAACTGTAAACCTACTTTTGCCCACCCTTGTATTTAACACACGACTTCCCCCTGGTGGCTGTTGCAGTGACAAGTGTGGCAGCGGCCACAGGTTTTTCCCAAGGGTTCTGTTATTTCTTTTGTGCATGGAGTATGTGCTGTCTCGACAGGATTAAAACTACTAGTTGTGCCCTAGCTGGTTTGGCTAAGGGGACAGAGCTTCGGCTTGTGGACCGAAGGGTTCCAGGTTCGATTCCAGTCAAGGGCACATGCCTAGGTTTTGGGCTCGATCCTCAGTTGGGGATGTGCTGGAGGTAGCCTATCAATGCTTCTCTCTCATTGTTGATGTTTCTATCTCTCTCTCCCATCCTCTCTGAGTTCAATAAAAATATATATATTTTTAAAACTACTAGTTGTCCCTAAAATTATTAAATTCCATTTATTTCATCTTGCTCTTATCCTAGTGAGTCATTAAAGTAGTATGTGTGGGAAAGAGAAATTGTTGCTTTTGCATGAACATTTAGGTCAAGTGGGTTTAGTTGTTTGAATGCAGTGTTGCGTACACACATACACTATTCAACCTTGTGGGTTTCGAGAAACTTCAATTCAGAAAAAAAGATAATTCGATCTTTTGAACTCAAAAAAGAGAAGAACTCAACACCACATCCAAATATTTTTTTTCCTCAACATTGGTAATAGAACAGCATACTTTATTTATTTATTTATTTATTTATTTATTTATTTTTAAATATGTTTTATTGATTTTTTACAGAGAGTAAGGGAGAAGAAGAGCCAGAAACATCAATGAGAGAGAAACATCAATCAGCTGCCTCCTGCATACCCCCTACTGGGGATGTGCCCGAAACCAAAGTACATGCCCTTGACCGGAATCGAACCTGGGACCCTTCAGTCCGCAGGCCGACGCTCTCTATCCACTGAGCCAAACTAGTCAGGGCTAGAACAGCATACTTTAAAAAAATTATTATTCGGCCGAAACCGGTTTGGCTCAATGGATAGAGCGTCGGCTTGGGGACTGAAGGGTCCCAGGTTTGATTCCGGTCAAGGGCATGTACCTTGGTTGCGGGCGTATCCCCAGTAGGGGGTGTGCAAGAGGCAGCTGATCGATGACTCTCTCTCATCGATGTTTCTAACTCTATCTCTCTCCCTTCCCCTCTGTACAAAATCAATAAAAAATATTTTAAAAAATAAAAATAAAAATAAATAAAAAAATTATTATTCAGCTGAAGCCGGTTTGGCTCAGTGGTAGAGCGTCGGTCTGCGGACTGAAAGGTCCCAGGTTCGAGTCCGATCAAGGGCATGTACATGGCACATCCCTGGTAGAGGGATGCAAGAGACAGCTGGCCAATGTTTCTCTCTCATTGACGTTTCTCTCTATCTCTCTCCCTTCCTCTCTGTTAAAAATCAATAAAATACATTTTAAAAAATTATTATTCAGACCTGGCCAGTGTGGCTCAATTGGTTGGAGTGTCGTCCCATACACCAAAAGGTCTCAAGGTTTGATTCCAGGTCAGGGCACATAGCTAGATTGTGGGTTTAATCCATAGTCAAGGCACACATAGGAGGCAACCAGCCCATATTTCTCATGTTGATGTTTCTCTCCCCCCTCTCCTCTCCAAAATTAATAAGTGTATTCTCAGGTGAGGATTGTTTTAAGAATTACTGTTATACAAATTATGTAGCTGTTTTGTTCTTATTATTATGTCTAGTGTTTTTAATACTAGATATAATATAAGAAGAATGGTGGAGGTTCATCAGAATGGTGGGGGTTCTCTCTCTCTCTCTCTCTTTTTTAAGAGAGCAGAAGGGAGAGAGAGAAACATCAATGTCAGAAACATCAATCAGTTGTCACCCTATCGAGGATCAGAGCCATAACCTGGGCATGTGCCCTGACCAGGAATTGAACCCACCAACCAACCGGAGCCACACTGGCCGGGGCTCACACTGAGATGTATCCTCCTGGTGCTCAGCCCTTTCCCAAGGTCTGGCATTTGAGCCGTTTCCAGCATTTGTCATTATAATGAGTTCTGTTCTGAGCATTTCTGCATTTTCCCTTTTGGATTCATTTCTCAGAACTAGAAATTTTGGAACAAAAAATAGAAATAGTTTTTATCTTTGCTACCTATTGCCAGATTGTTCTCCAGAAATACTAGAACCAATTTTAAACACACACTCCCTTAAAACACTGCAAGTCCTTTTCATTTTAAGACTAATTTGTTACTTAACCCCCAGGCTATTCAATAGGGGTCATGAGGCTGTGTGGCTTATGGGAGTCGGACAGTCTTGCTGAGTGTTTGCCAAACCTCAGTTTTTAATGGGGCTATTTTATCTGAACTTTATCAATAAGATAAAGTACCTGCCCTGTTGGCAAGCACATGGGGGTAACAGCTATGATTATCATGGACTCAGCCCTTACCTGTGGAAGAATCAGGAAAATGTTTCCTTAGGTAGTCTAGTCAGGTGAGGACGACTCTGGCAAAATAAAGGTGCAGCCCCGATTTTGACCTTCAGGCCTGAGGACTGATGTTCGAGTTCAAAGTTTTCCTGGTGGGTTGTCTCGGGTGGGCTCATTTTCTTACCTGATACGGAAAGAAAAAGAGGGCACTAACATAGTCTCCTCGTATGGCCAGCCCGACCCCCACCACCTGCAATCTCTCGTTCAATCTCTCCGAGCAGTTCCTGCCTCACGCTGGGGACCGCATTTTGATCACGGGGGCAGCCGACTCCAAGGTGCATGTCCACGACCTGACAGTGAAGGAGACGATCCACATGTTTGGAGACCACACCAACCGGGTGAAGCGCATCGCCACGGCCCCCATGTGGCCCAACACGTTCTGGAGTGCTGCTGAGGACGGGCTGATCCGGTAAGGGCCTGAGGCGTTGATGGGGCCTGTGGCTCTCTCTCTCTGCGTGTTGGCTCCTCCCTCCCACCTGTGCACACCACTTCCTTCCACAGGCCTGACTCCTTCCCTCCGGCAGAGTCCAGCCTCATTAGTCTGCTCAGAGCTGTCTGTGGACAAACTCAGCTGGGAGCATTTGCTCCCCCTGCTCTCACCTTCCCACTCTCTTCCCTCTCCTGCACCACATCCAGGCGTGCAGGCCTCCCACCGCCTCAGGGCAGTGTCTGCCTCCTTGGGGCTTTCACACCCGCCGTTCCCTCTGGCTGGTTTTCTCTGTACTCAGCTCTTCCCGTGTCTGTCCCTTTCTTACCCTAAGGAGATCTGCTTAGGAGTCACCTTCTCAGAAGCACCTTCTCTGACCACCCTAAAGAAGACCCCTCCCCTGTTGTTCTTTGTCTCAGTGCCCTATGGTCGCCTCTGTTACTCTAGGCATCGTCTATAGTTATTTTATTTACTTGTTGGTTTACCTTTTTTGTCTGTATCCCTCACTGAATGGTACACTCTCTCAGAGCAGCTCCATGTCTGTCTTGTCTTGGTGGTGTTCCTAGAGCCCAGCACAGTGCTGGCACATAGAGACATTTGATACATTTCTCTTGAACAGTTGGTCAGTGGGCATGTGCCTGTAAGGGGGAGAGTCATCCAGAAATAACAAAGTGGAGGCCAGTATTGTCACACCTATGCCTCTACTTCCTTTCATCCTAAAATGGTCTCATTGTCCTTCTTTTTTTTTTTTACTTTCTTTTTTTTTTTTTAATAAGTTTTTGTTCATATTATTACAAATGTTCCTCCCCCCCCCACCATTGCTCTCCTCCACCAGGTTCCCTCCCCACTCTCTGCCCTTTCCCCACTCCCCATTGTCCTCATCCATAGGTGCACAGTTTATGTTCAGTCTCTTCCCACGCCCCCCTCTCCCCTTTTCCCCAAGAATCGTCAGTTCACTCCCCTTCCATACCTCTGATTTTATTATATTCAACAGTTACTATTATTCATCAGATTTTTTTTTAATTTCCTTGTTTTTTAGATTCACTTGTTGATAGTATTTGTTGTTCATAATTTTTATCTTTGTTTACTTTCTCTTCTGAAAGAACCCCCTTCAGCAATTCATATAATTCTGGTTTGGTGTTGATGAACTCCTTTAGCTTTTTTTTATTAGTGAAGCTCTTTATCTGACCTTCGATTCTGAGTGATAACTTTGCTGGATAGATTATCTTTGGCTGTAGGTTCTTACTATTCATCACCTTGAATATTTCTTGCCATTCCCTTCTGGCCTGCATGGTTTCTGTTGAGAAGTCAGCTGACAATCGTATGGGTGCTCCTTTATAGGTAACTACCTTCTTTGTTCTTGCTTCTTTTAATATTCTCTCTTTGTCTTTTGCTCTTGGAATTTTAATTATGATGTGTCTTAGTGTGGTCCTCTTTGGATTCCTTTTGTTTGGAGTTCTGTGCGCTTCCTGGACTTGCTAATTCTTTCACCAGATGGGGGAAGTTTTCTGTCACTATTTCTTTCAGTATGTTTTCGATATCTTGCTCTCTCTCATCTTCTGGGACCCCCATAATTCTGATGTTGGTTCGCTTGAAGTTGTCCCAGAGGTTTCTTACATTATCTTCAATTTTCTGGATTCTCTTGCCTTTTAGCTTCTGTGGAGGAGTGTCTTCTGGCTCTTTATGTTCCAAATCTTTGACTTGATTCTTGCGATCTTCCCTTCTGTTTTTAGGACTCTGTAAAATATTTTTTATTTCAGACAATGTATTATTTCTTGTTGATCCCTTATCATTTCTTGATGACTCCTTATTAATTCTAGTTGATCTCTTTTCATATCCTCATAGGTCTTATCCATCTTTTCTAGGAAATTCTTGAAAAACCTTATAAGCGTAGATTTGAACTCTATAACCAGACGCTTTTTGTCCTCCATTTCTTTCGTTTGTGATCTATTTCGTTGTCACATTTCGCAGCTACAGATGGGGCGGAGTTTCATGGTGGAGCCTGCAGCCTTGGCTTCCGTCAGCCCCCCACTATGCGGGTCCTTCAGTGCTCGCTGCCGGTGCCTCTGAGAGAAAGGTGCCCTCGATTTTCGCCTGCTGCCAAACAGTCTAGCCTCTCCCACAATGAGCCCGGTATTGGGGTTCAGTTCAGTTGGAAGTGGAGTTGGAGGTGGCGTTCAGAGCAGTCCGGAGCCCCAGTCTCCTTCCCTCCAGGCAATCCCGCAGCACAGCCGGCCGTCCCTTCTCTGTGCGCCCTGTGCGCCGCCGCCGGGACCCCCTTTCGCCGCTTCCCCGGGGTCTGGCCTAGGCTTGGGTTCAGAGCAGTCAGAATGGGGCCCAGCACAGTGGGAGTTTTATCTCCTTCCCGCCAGGCACTCCGCCTCCCTCCTCTCCGGCTCCGTCCTCTCCGCGCGCCGCGTGTCTCCGTACCTTGGGCTTTTCCAGCTCCTCCGCGCTTCCTTCTGGTTTTTTCCTTGCTTCTCGCTGTAGAATTTCCAGTCAGTCAACTTTCCTGTAGTCCTGGGTAATGTCCGTTTTATATTTTAGTTGTATTTTATTGAAATTGTTGTGTGAGGCTGCAGCTAGGTATTCACCTGGGCGCAGCCATCTTGGATCCTCTCATTGTCCTTCTTTAACTCCTCTCTTCAGATATGACCTTAGAACTTTTCCTTATCTCCCCAATCTGCCTTAACTGTCTCCCTTAAAACTCGGTAGGACCTTGTGCCTTCTCCCCTGTTACAGAGAAGGGGTAGCTAAGTTGTGTATAAACTGTAACAGAAATTAGAAGCAGAGCACTGAAGTCACCCAGACCGAGGGTCAAGTCCTGCCTCTGTCACTCAGTGTTTGACTGGGGCAAGTCACTTCACCACTGAACCTCAGTTTCCTCATCTATAAAATGGGAATCATCATAATATCTCCCTGTTGGCCTGAGCTTTGAAATTGAGATAGTGCCAGTAAAACCTTAGCATAGTTTATTAAGTCTTCATTTAATGTCATTTATAGGTTCTGTGACTTTAAGTGGAATGACATATAAGGAAACCAATTTTACCATAGCCTCATTGATATAAACAAGAGCTAAGTTCCCAAGAATCTTTTCAGCATTATAATGAAACAACATTGAAGGACAACAATAAAAACACACACACACAAAAAACGATATTTAAGGACTTGCTATAACCTAAGACAGAAAGCACTTGTGAATACAATTCTACATTGCACTTGCTGACCTTGACTGACCAGGCTGTGTCAGGACGGCAGGTAGAAGCTGATCATTGAGGATCTTGTGTAGGAGAGCCTCAGCACTTTGGCGCAGCAGAGTCAGGGGAGGTGTCCTACTAGAAAGTAAACATAAACTTGCCTTTCAGAATAGAAGGGATTTGGATGGGCAAGGTAAAGCAGAGTGGTTCTCAGCTTGAGCACAGTTTGTGAAGGCAGGGGTAAACATGGCATGTACAGGATAGAGAGTATTGTAGTGTTATTGACCCATGTTTAGAACACTGAGGATCAAGGTTGGAGAGGGATGTGAAATCAGATCTTGAAAAGTTTGGAAAAAGTAAACTAAAAGTACATTCATGCTGAAAATATTGAGGAATCACTGCGGTTTTGAGCTGGAAAGATAAGGCAAACAGTGACGAGGTCATTGCATGTGCCTGTGTAGTAGCAGCAAAACAGCTCCCCAGGTTGCAATGATGGGTGTGTATTGCTGCCAGGTAGATGTTTGGCATGACCTTTGCCACCTACCTGGATGAAACTCTTGGGCTTCTGTTGGCACTTGGCGTTTCTAGGTAGCTCTTAGATAATCTCCAGATTCTCTTTTTTGTCACCTCCATATTTCTTTTGTTTCCTATGAGATTTAGTACAACTAGAATTATAATTAAGGAGAGAGCAGTCTTAGGAAGCTATCCAAGCTCTACATTTACTAGCAGTGCTGTCCCAGGCAGGTTATTTAACTGCTTTGAACCTCAGTGTTCTAATGGTACCAAGGGATGGCATGAGGATTTAATTAGGAAATGCATGTGCAACACTGAGGGACAATACTGGACACAAAGCAATTTCTCACTATGTGTTAGTAATCAGTAGCAATAGTATTTAGCAATAATACTGACATGTTTTTGGGTTTTGGTTATATTTTTTTTTTAAGGTATGGTAGTGTTTACCTTGAGTTATGTTAGAATAAAACACTGTGTGAGAAGACTGCTACAGGGCCTGGCACACCATGGGCACTCAAGAAATGAGAGTGGTTTTAACATTCTTATTATTTACAAACTGGCCCAGAGCCCCTCCCACTCACCTTGCATAGCAAGGCTCTGGTTTCTTCTCTGCCTTCAACACAGGGACCCAGCTCCCAGCCCCTCACCCTGTCCTCTCTCACAGACAGTATGACCTTCGGGAGAACAGCAAACACTCGGAAGTGCTGATTGACCTGACAGAGTACTGTGGCCAGCTGGTGGAGGCCAAGTGCCTCACTGTCAACCCCCAGGACAACAACTGCCTGGCGGTAGGGGCCAGCGGGCCCTTCGTGAGGCTCTACGACATTCGCATGATCCACAACCACAGGTATGAACAGCTCGGCCTCCTGTGGAACTGCTGCTGCTTCCCTCATTGCCATGCCCTCTTCTTTTGGAGGTGGGTTTTTTAATTTTTGTGATTAAAAAAATAATTTTTTTCCTTTTTATTGAATTTATTGGGATGAAGCTGGCTAACAGAATTATACAGGTTAATTTGTGTAATTTTTTTTTAAAAAAAAACAAAAACCTTTAATTCATGCTTGTTTTAGAAATAAGAAAAATATAATTTTGGTGGACATAAAGAAGAAAGGTACTTTCTGTTTCTCTCAGGGATACAAACTTGGGTTTTCCTCTAGGGACTGTGGTCTGATGTAGCCAGGGGGAGTGCTAGGCATTGTAACCTGTGTGGTTTGCCTTCCCACCAGAAAGAGCATGAAGCAGAGCCCTCCTGCAGGCGTGCACACTTTCTGTGACCGGCAGAAGCCCCTTCCGGATGGTGCAGCCCAGTATTACGTAGCAGGTAGGTCTGAGCCCAGCTCTGGCCCCAAACTCTTGGCTGGGTGCTGACTTACCCTGGGGCAGGGCAGGGAGGTGGTGTGGCACAGTGGTCAAGAGCAAGAGCTTGAGAGTTCGGCATACTTGGGCTTTAATTCTGACTGCCATGAACCAGCCATCATGTGACCTTTGGCAAATTACTGGCCCTTGATGGATCATAATTTCTTTTCTCTAAAATAGGTTTGTAATGACCAAATGATATAAAGCACATAAAGTAGCCCAGCCTATATGGCAAGGGCTCAACACTTGTTGCTGTTTTTATGCTGAAGATGATTGCTATCATCATATGGCTGATTTCACACAACTCTCTGATCCCTTTTTTGGGGTCCTGGGAGCCTCACACCAGAATGACTGGACTGTTCCCTGCAGGTCACCTGCCAGTGAAGCTGCCTGACTACAACAACCGCCTGAGAGTGCTGGTTGCCACCTATGTGACCTTTAGCCCCAGTGGCACAGAGCTGCTGGTCAACATGGGAGGGGAGCAGGTATGTACGACTGACCAATTTGGCTCTGCCCCCCACCTCCCACACCATATCCAGCAGCCTGGGCTGTGTACGTCACGTCCATGATGCAGACAAGAAGCCTATTGTAAATGCCATTCTAGTGAAATGTGGGAATGATATAATATCATTGGAATTCCCTGACAGGTGCCCTAAGTTTTAGAACTGACAGACCTATCTTCAAACGCTGATCTTCTGCTTACCAGCTGTGTACAGTGACTTGGAACAACTCTCTCTCTCTCTCTCTCTCTCTCGCTCTCGCTCTCGCTCTCTCTCGCTCTCTCTCGCTCTCTCTCGCTCTGTCTCTCTCTCTTTCTCTCTCTCTCTTTTTTTTTCTCTGAGCCTTGGTTTTCTCATCTGCTGTTTTCCTAGGAGGAGATCTTGGGGTTCAGGCATGCAGCCAGGCTCTGGTTTAGGATAAGCTCTGGGAAGTGTTCTCTGCTAAACCTTTTGTTTGCAGGTTCTCAGGATATTTATTAAGCCTTGCATAAATTCATTTATTTAACAAATATTGAACACATACTCTGGGAATCGCATTATCAAAAATATGAGGGAGACAAATGCAAAATATAACGCATCACAGGCTAACAGGGGAGACACAGCAAGTGAAACAATTGATGACATTACAAGGTAAGGTATAATTTTGTACAAAAGAAATGGGTTGGAGAATAGGTGAGTGCCTGAGTTCAGAATAGAACTCTGGCTTCAGATTGCTGAGCCATCATCTGGCCTAAAGGTAGCATAAGGATGAGTGGAGAGGCAATCTAGCAGAGTGGTTAAGAGCTTGGTTTTGGGTCCTGGCTGTGTCACATGTGGTTTTATGGCCCTGGATAAAGTAAACTCTGAGTGTACATTTCTTCATATATAAAGGGGATGGTGATAATAGTACCTCTTCCTGGGAGGGTTTCTAGGATGAAATCAGGTGTCATATAAAACAACTAAAGTTACTGGAGCAAAGAAGGAAGTCAATAAATGTTAAGTAATAATAGACAATATTTACTGAAGGAAGTAATTAGTAGTGTTATTTTAGGTAAATTGCTTCTCTTTTCAGGCTTCATTTTTCCCATCTGTAAAATGAGTCATTTTACTTTGTGACCTCTGGTGACCTTTTCAACTTAAACGTGATTCTAACTAATGACAGTATTTCCAGCAGAAACTAGGAAGACTTTCCTGACTCAGGATTGCTCCATAGAAACCCCCTCCAGCCTGTCTCAGTGGTTCCCTGCTCAACACTCAGTGTGTTCCTGAGGGCCACATGCGTACCTCACAGCCTCCATTTCTTCTTGTCCCCTCCCCTCTAGGTCTATTTGTTTGACCTGACTTACAAGCAGCGGCCGTACACGTTCCTCTTGCCTAGAAAATGCCACTCCTCAGGGGGTAAGTTCTCCCGTGGGGTGTCTTTAGAGTAAGTACCTGCTGGGAGCTTGAATGTGTGCCCCCTCTGCTAAGAAACCTGCCCCATTCCTCGGGCTGTGGCTGTGATCCTCCAAAAGGAGTAGATTTTCTGAAATACACTGCCTGTACAGTAAAAAAGAAGATAACACGATGCAGAAATCTGTCAAAGGGATTTGTGCCACAGCCCTTTTCACTTCCCTCTGAAAAAACAAGTTCTTCCCATGGTTGGCTCTTGAGGACCTGATATAGTTGCCCTTCCCTTATTGCCCTAGATCAGTCTCCTCATTGATTTCTCACTGGAGCCTAAAGTTGTTTTAGACAAGTCTGCACCCCCAACTCCTACTCCGATCCCAACTCCAGCTAAGGGCAATGCCAAGTTGAAGCTGTGTTCCTCTTCAGCCAGCAGAGGGCGCACATGGTTTTCTTTATGCCCTTGCCTGCCACTGCAAAAAAAAACTTGCTTTCTGGGAATAGATCTTACTCTGGGAGGGTGGTGTCACAGTGGGACCAACAGACCCTGTGATGGAAGCTAGAGGGCTGCCAAAGAGATATGAGGACCGCTTCCTGAGTTGTTGCTATTCGTTTCTCCCTCTCCCCTGCCAGAAGTTCAGAACGGCAAGATGTCCACCAATGGTGTGTCCAACGGCGTGTCCAATGGCCTGCACCTTCACAGCAATGGCTTCCGGCTGCCAGAGAGTAGGGGATATGTGAGGTGAGGCCAGCTCACTTGTCCAGTCCTCTCAGCTTCAATTACATCTATAAACTAGAGGGAGGAGTATGTCTTACAACCCTTCCTCCGGACCCCTCCCCAGTACATACCCCAGAGCCAGGACTGGGGCACATAATTTTCTGGAGGGTGATAGTGGTCCCAGTGCCACTCCTACCTGGTAGGACTCCAGTCATGCTCAGACTGAAGCTCCGGTCTCTTGAACCAGAAGCTATAGTCAGGACCCAGAGTGGGTCTGGGCCAGGGCAAGGGATAAAGGCAATGGGCCTGATAGAGCTCTGGGTGGTGGTAGTAACATCCTGCAGCCTCCTAAGGCTTCTTGTGCCCAGCTAAGTGCCTCGTCTCATGAGCTCCTTCCCAAAGGGCCCCACACAAATGGGCCTCTCCTATTATATTTTTCTCCATCCCAGAGCATCTTCTGACCTCTGTTCTCTGTCAGGTCCTGTGCTGGGCTTTGGATACAGAGGTTTTCAAGTCCTCTAGCCCTTGAGAGAAACAGAATTCTTTCTAGAGATCCATGGGAGGGACTTGGGTGGTTACAAGGTTGGGCTCAGTATAGAGGTAGGTGGGGTCAGCTACTATCATGCCCAAGAGTTTGGTTAAAAATTGCCTTAAACCTGTCTAGGACAGCTTCATTTATGCTTCAAGAGTATCTGGAATTGTACCCATTACCTGTCACAGTAACTCAGGCTAAGGACAGGAGTGGGCCCCTCTTCTAGATGACAGTGCAGATCCCAAAGGCCAAGAAAGCCTGGTGACCCTCAGATACGGCGACAGGCTTCCTGAGGGTCTGCTCTGATCTTTTCTGGCTGGCCTGACCTGGCTCTGCATCCCCCACAGCCCCCAGGTAGAGCTGCCCCCATACCTGGAGCGTGTGAAACAGCAAGCCAACGAGGCTTTTGCCTGCCAGCAGTGGACCCAGGCCATTCAGCTTTACAGCAAGGCTGTGCAGAGGGCCCCTCACAACGCCATGCTCTACGGGAACCGAGCTGCTGCCTACATGAAGCGCAAGTGGTGAGTGGGTCTGGGCCAGGGCGAGGGGTAAAGGCAATGGGCCTGATAGAGCCCTGGGTGGTGGTAGTAACATCCTGCAGCCTCCTAAGGCTTCTTGTGCCCAGGCCTCTCCTCCCCTCCTCTAGGCTGGAGGTGGGCAGACACCGGCCCGTTAGGATGTCTCAAGCACCAGGGAAGCTCACAGTTGAGTAGGATATGCACACAAGTAGCTTCAACGTGGTGCTTTGTTACTAAGTGCTGTGGTCACTGGGGAAGTAGGAATTGAGAGAATGGTTAATCTCAACTGTTGGAGAATGGGGCCTAGAGTTGGACTTTGAAGGAGCAGTTAAATGTTGCTAGATGGAAATGACGTGTTTGGTGAATTCAGTTAATATTTGTCTGAAATGATTCTGTCGCTCCTTGACCTTGGGGAGTGCTTTCCTGGCTCTTAAACCCTTTGGACCGAACACAAACAGGATCCCAGGTGTCCGAAGCTGGCTGTGGGTCGTGCTGGGTTGTAGTGGCCAGTGGTAAAGGAGTAGGTCCACATCTTAAAGAACCCTTTATCTTTGGGAATCCTCAGGGCCCCCAGCCCTTTCTGCCTGCAGCACCAGCAGGCAAGCAGACAGGCAGACCCCATCCCCCAGCCAGGGCCAGGACTAGAGATGGATAGAGTTGGGCCCACAGCCATTTTCTGCTCCGTCTGGCATCCGTCGACTCTGCCCAGACAGACAGGCCAGCTGGTGTGCCATCGTCTGGCTGCAACTAGGCAGGCCAGAGAAGGAAGCTTAAGAAACCCACCCAAGTCAGCAGGATGGTGGGTGGGTGTTTGGGAAGGTGCTACCCCACAGGCCTTAGCCGAGGCATCAGGAGCTTGCCAGGGCTCAGATGGCAGCCAAATCCAGGAGATGGCTGTTGGAGGGCCAGCCTGAGGTGTTTCATCTCACTGTCCCAGCAGTAGGGTAGGTCCTCATCCAAACTGTAGCCCGAGAGCTATTTCACTCCAGCTAAGAGAGGCTGATAAATTCCCAACCCGTGGGTGCCGTCTACATGTTCTCTGAGCTCCTTCTATGCACTAGGTACCAGGGACACAAAGTTGCCACTCAAGTTCTTGTGCCCTGGAGCGCCCAGCCTCTGGACAGGGGACAAAGACAGGGACATGGTCCGTCATCAAAGAGGCAGGAAGCAGTAGGTCCTTTGGAATGGTTTGACCATTCAAAAAAAAAAAAAAAAGGTTGGGTCACTTGAGTTGGGCATCAGTCAGGAAAACATCAGGGAGATGTGGCTGAATGGGCTTTAAGCGTGGGCAGGCTGAGACAAGGAGATGAAAAGGAGGAGGGGACTGTGGGGGAAGGACATTCCCAGGGAGATGAAATGGTATGAACAAAGGCTGGGGGGTGTGGGGCTGTCTGGAGAGCTTATTTGCAGCACAACAGTCCATTTGGCTGGAGGAGCAGAGGGTTGGGAAGGGACTGGCAGGAGATGAGTCTGTGAGGTAGCCTGGGGCTGGCCTAGGAAGGACTTGGAATGCAGGGCCGTGGCTGTGTTTTGGCCTCGATTCAGTGGATGATGGGCAGCTACTGAAGAGTTTTGAGCAGAAGAGGGACGTGCTGAGGGCTGTCCTTTCAGGGAGATTGATCTGGCAGCTCGTCTGGATGGGTGAGCCCTGGGGCCAGGCTGCGCTCTCCTCATTGTCTCTCACATGCCTGCCAGTGACCCCTAGAATGTCACGTCCTGTCCAGGCCAGGCTCCCCAGGGCTGCCATCTGCTCCTGGATGCAGTGGGAGCTGTCGCCCCTGGCTCCTGGCTGGTCTCTGGCTGGCTCTCCTCAGGAGCTCGGAGGGGCACCTTGCAGGTGGTAATTGGTTTCTAAAAGCGCCGGCTCCCTCATCACAGTTACCGGTTCTGACACTGGCCACACCATGGAAGCACCCGCCTGCTTCCTGCCCCACACTGCTCAGCTGCTTGTTCTTGGTCTGGGCATGGCTGCTGCAGGGATGGATCTCCCCTGAGTGCTGTAGGAGAGAAGGGTCAGGAGGATGTGTGCACGGGGCTTGTGAGCTGTGCTCAGTGAGGAGCCATCAGCTCTGGTCTGGGAGTGCTGGTTGGCAGAGTTGGGTCTTATGCCCAGAAGGGAATAATATAGCTCCCACAGGAGAAGTGGCTCCTGTGATCCGTCTGGCTCTCCAGATGAGAGGTGGGAACCGTCTGTGGGTGCAGGGGAGTGTGTGTCTTATATTCTGGCACAGGGTGGGTGGGAGGAGGGGCTTCTTTGACCCCGCCCCTCTTACTCCTCCACAAAGAAACATTTCCATTTCCCTTCACCCATGCTTCAGTGACGATTTGTAGCTTCTGATGTGCTTGTCGCCACCACCACCACCACCTTCCCGAAAGCTGACTCTGCCAGGCTGTCAGGCCCCATCCTATAGTCCCAGGAGATAGAGGCCACAGCTGCTGTGGATCAGTCAGCCAGGACAGAGGGGGATCTGGCCGAGAGCTTACTGCCTGCTGGTCAGACCCTAAGTCTCCCGCCTGGCACTTCTGGCTTCCCCAGACCACAGAAGTGTCCTTGAGGGCTCCCTGCCTTGGACATGGCTTTGAAGGCCAGACAGGGAGATTTGAGGAGTGCATGGAGGAAGAGGGAAGGAGGGCTTGGGAGCCTGAGATGGGCAAGATGCCAGGCCTTCTGCTGCAGAGCTGCGGGTGCCTGGGGTGAACGGGCACGCAGGAGCATGCTGTGTCCAGCAGAGGGCAGCCTGACACTGGGTTTTGCCATACACTCATCTCCACCCCACCCCCAAGACCTCAGGGTTCCTGGCTTGCCTCCTTAAAAATACTTGGTCTCCTGGGCTGAGCCAAGACTCTATTCATCCCCAAGTACCCGTTCTCTGAGATCTGTCAGAGATGGACTGGGGTGGCCACAGAAAGCGGGGACTGGGTGAGGATGATTCTTTGCTTGCCATGTGGCCCCACCTCCAAGCCACACTCTCTTATCCAGGGATGGTGACCACTACGACGCCCTGAGAGACTGCCTCAAGGCCATCTCCCTAAACCCATGCCACCTGAAGGCACACTTCCGCCTGGCCCGCTGCCTCTTTGAGCTCAAGTACGTGGCTGAGGCCCTGGAGTGCCTGGACGACTTCAAAGGGAAGTTCCCGGAGCAGGCCCACAGCAGCGCTTGTGATGCACTGGGCCGGGACATCACGGCCGCCCTCTTCTCCAAAAACGACAGTGGTGAGTGGGCACTGAGGAGGGGCTGCCGGCACTCTTCCTGCTTGAGGTGCGGCATCTCATTCTGGGGAGGACCTGGTTCTGGGTTAGAGAGGCCTGGTTCAGATGCTGATTCAGAAGCCATGTGACCTTGAGACCCTCACTCGGTTTCTCTGAGACTCACTTTCCTCATCTGAAAGTGAGGAAATAGCAATAGCCTACCTGGTGTAGTGCCTGGGACTCGGGATAAGAGTAGGCCGAGCCCAGTCAGGATGTGTGGGTTGAGGGCATTCTCACTCCTCACAGACAGGGCCTTGGGCTTCCGAGTGAGGGGCAGCTGCCAGGGTTGTGCTTGTTCCTGTTGGCACACTTGCAACTGAGACGACAGCAGAGGGCAGTGGAAATGCCTTGGATGCAGGGTGTGGAGCCTGGGGTTCCATCTCCGCTCTGCCCTGTGGTGACCCTGTGACCTTGGGCAGAGCACAGCCTCTGAGCCTGCTGCACAGAGAGCATTGGAAGGTCTGCTCAGCTCACCCCATTGGCTGTGGAGAGCAGGCTGGGCGATTGTAGTGTGGACTATAAACGAAGGTGAGCTCACTGGAGGCAGAAATGGACTCCTGCCTCTCCCCTTTGAATTTATTAACCATGCCAGTGATCCATTTGCTGCAAGTTTACCATGTGCCAGGCCCTGTGCTGTGTCCTGGGAATACAGCTGTGAACAAGTCAGATGGGATTTCTGCATCCACGGAGTTTGCAGCCCAGTGATGGAACCAAGGGGTGAAGGAGAAACTAAGTGGGATGAGTGCCATGGGGACCTGATGTGGTGTAGGCAGCCTGGGGCTCTACAGACATTTAAGCTGAGGTCTCAAGGTGAGAAGGAAGAATTAACTAGATACAAAGTGCAGTTATGGGAGGTGAATAGTTCCTGGCAGAGGGACTGGCACCTGCAAAGGCCCTGAAGCAGGCAGGAACAAGGCACTTTCAAGGCACTGAGAAAATTGGTGTGATTTTACCGAAGGCCCTTAACCCATCAGTGCCTCAGTTGGGATCCATGATGACAGAAAAATCAACCCTTCAAACTTTCTTGGTAGTGCTTCACCCACCCTCCCTGCCTCTCCCCTCCACAGAAACAGGCCCTGTGCCTGTGCATCCTTGGGGCTTCCCGACATTATTCAGGGTCCTGAGCCAAGGCTCTCCTGGCACCAGAGGTCTCGTTTTTAATGCCCTCAAGGACTGGGTCCAAAGAAGCTTCTCTCCCGCGATCGTTCCCAGTTTCCTAGGGCGGGTAGAGGGCGGTAGCCTACACTGCTAGTACTCGGGCTGAAAACGGGGGAGAGGGGAGAAGAGAGAGGGCCTGGACCCTCACCTTTCCTTGCTCTCGCCCCCAGAGGAGAAGAAGGGAGCTGGGGGGGGCGGAGGCCCCGTCCGCCTCCGCAGCACGGGCCGCAAGGACTCCATCTCGGAGGATGAGATGGTGCTGCGGGAACGGAGCTACGACTACCAGTTCCGCTACTGCGGCCACTGCAACACCACCACGGACATCAAGGAGGCCAACTTCTTCGGCAGGTCTGAGGCCTTGAAGAGCAGCAGGGCACAGCCCGACTGGGCAGGAGGAGGTTGGGGGGCATGAGGGCATACTTTTTCTAGAAAAGTCTCAAGTCCCAGTCCTGCCTCTGTACCCTGGGGCAAATGGCTCCACCTCTGTGGGCCTCAGTTTCTTTACATGTAAAATAAAACCCAACCCCCACTCATGGAGCCACAGGGAGGAGCACTACTGAGGTAATTCATAAGCGCATCCAGCGCAGTGCCTGCTCTGTTCCTCCATCTCCCACCCCTCTTCCCTCTGCCTCCATGTGTGGAGCTTGGTTTCCTTATCTGGGTGCTGGGAGCCTCCTCCTGCTGGAGGTATGAGCCAGGGGCCCTCAGAGGCCGGCAGACTTGGCACACCTATCATGGTCAGAACAGTGCCTCAGGTACTGAGGGACAGCTTGTGTCCCACACACCATTACCCCCTCCCTCCTTTGTAGATGTTGCACTTTGGTAGGTAAAACACATGAATGTGGGTCTAGAATCTCTCCACCAAGATCCCCCTAATTGTCCACAGTGTGTAAAAGGTGGGGTCTGAGTCCGGGAAGGCAGGGCCACTGAAGGAAGGCTTAGACGGTGTTCCCAGAGACACACGACCCAATCCTGGCATCCAGGGAGCTTAGGATGTAGTTTGGGGAGAGTCACTTGGAGGGACCCAGGCATTCCCTGGCTCTGAGTTAAGAGAACACTTAAACAGAGACCGGAGCCCTGCAGCTTGGGAAGACTACCATGTGTGGAGTCAAGTGAAGACCCTGGAGTTTGGGGGCTGAGCAGATACAGAATTCCCTATCCCCTTGCCCTAAGCCACACAGCCTCTCCTTGAGGCTGTAGGGCAGTACCCCACCTGACCTCCCTGCCCTTTGCCACCCCCCCGCCAGCAACGCTCAGTACATCGTCAGTGGCTCTGACGATGGCTCCTTCTTCATCTGGGAAAAGGAGACCACCAACCTAGTCCGCGTGCTCCAGGGGGACGAGTCCATTGTCAACTGCCTGCAGCCGCACCCCAGCTACTGCTTCCTGGCCACCAGCGGCATCGACCCCGTCGTACGGCTGTGGAATCCCCGGCCAGAGGTGAGGGGGTAGCGAGGTGGCCAAAGCCAGACAGTGTGGAGGGCAGGGACGGACCCTGTGCAGGGCCTCGGGCTGAGCCTGGGAGGGTTGGGAGGGAAATGGGTCCCACGGAAGGTGAGTGAGCTCTCACTCGAGGGCTCAAGGTTATGAAGGTGGGAGCCATCGAGTTCTCACAGTTCCAGGGCCAACAGCTGCCTTTGAGGGCCAGAGTGTGAGCAAGCTGTGAAGATGTCTCCCAGGGCACAGCAACAAGGTTGGGGAGGGAGCCAGACCAGCTCAGTACTGGCCATGAGAAGGGGACCCAGGCTCCCAGGTTCCTGTCCTCGTAACACTGTGGCGTATCCCCAGAAGCTGTGCGGAGGCCTATCCCTCAGTCACATGGAAGTGTTCAGGCTTTGGAGTCTGGCACACCTAGGTGTGAATCCTGGTCCCTTCACTTCCTGCCGAGGGGACTTAACCATCTCTGACCCAGGTTTTTGTCATTGCCACTCGGGAATGGGAGTGACAGCACCACCTCAAAGGTTGCGTAGGAGGACAGTGTGGCCCCTTCCACTCCCACGGCGGGTCGCCAGCTGGGCCAGCCTGAGGCTTCCAGGGCCTCTGTCCTACCACCTCCCTCTTCCCAGCTGGCAAAACAGAAGCAGGTGGTGTCTAATTCCAAAGTCAGTTCTCTTCGAATTTTAAAGAGAGCCTTCAGGGCCTCCCTTGAGAAAGGAAAAGAAAGATACATGAAGGGCTGTTGGGAGTAGCAATAGCAAAGAATGGGGAGCTGTGTCTACCCCCTCCCTAGGTGTACCCAGTATGTGTCCTCCCTCACACATGCCCATGCATGGTCCCCTGTGTACATGTCCTGCTGTGGTGTGTACCAATCATGCTCTGGTGCAGGCCAGCCCATGTGTACACTGATGTGTGTATTCCCCCCAGTGTCTATCCCAGCATGTGGATCCCTTACATATATCTCAGGGTGTTGTGTCCCTTCCCGTGTGGGTATCCCTCACATATGTCGTGGTGGGTGTCCCATGCATATTCCAGTGTGTATGTTCCTTCTCTCCACGTACACATATGGACAAACCGATATAAACCCACAGGCATCTGGTGTGCACATCCTCCTCCATATGTATAGCTCAGTCTGCGTGCATGTCCCCTGCACGTATGTGTGCCTCTCCTGTACATCCCGGTGTCCCTCCCCCAGAGCGAAGACCTCACAGGCAGAGTGGTGGAGGACATGGAGGGCGCGTCCCAGGCCAACCAGCGGCGCATGAACGCAGACCCGTTGGAAGTGATGCTGCTCAACATGGGCTACCGGATCACCGGCCTGAGCAGCGGGGGAGCCGGGGCCTCTGACGATGAGGACAGCTCCGAGGGCCAGGTGCAGTGCCGGCCCAGCTAGACCCTCGGCCCCGGTCCCCAGCCCCTGCCACCGGCTGGACCTCCACCCTGGGCAGGAGGGCAGGGGGTCTGTTTTGGTTTGTCTTCCCCCCACCCCATTTTTTTGTTTCCCCCGTTTTGTTTGTTAGTTTGGCATTGGGGGTGGGGATTGCTGCAGTTTGCTGGCTTTCAGACTTTGGGGCAGATTGCCCTTGACTGACCCCAGCCCTGAGCAAAAGAGCAGGAGGGGAAGCCTCTCCCTTTGCCCCCCATTTCTCCTCCCAGGTCCCTGGAGGGCTCCGGCCTGCCTCCGGTGTGGAGCCGGGCTGAAGCTGTCTTCAGGGCTGCCCTGCCCTTCTGGTGGCAGCAGGAAGGGGACTGGGGTTCCCGGTCCATAAGGGCTAGCCTTGACCTGTTGCCACTCTTGCTCCCTGGCTGGCAAGGCTAGCTCCCTCCTCCGTGGTCTTCAGGGAAGGCTCTGAACAAGGACGGGCCCCAGCCTCCCTCTAGAGCCACTGTGTCGGGCTGGAAGCAGAAGGAAGGATGGGAGCCCTGGACCTGGTGTGGGCAAGGCCAGGCCACTGTGCCTGCTCTCACTGGCCACCTCTGGGTACTCCGCCTTTCCTGAGGACCTGGGTGGGGGAAAGGGGGCACCACACTATACCCTGCCCACCCATGCCAGCCCTTCCACACTACGCCCACTCTCCTTTCTCAGGCGCTCCTGGCCTCACTGTGACCTTTCTGCCAGAGCTCCCAGCCAGGCCTACTCTTGCTGAGGGGGGCTCCCTGCTAAGGGCCCTTCTTGCCCTCTCTCCCCTTCCTCTCACCCCACATGCAGAGCCGCCACAAAGACCAAAGAAGTGATGGCTTTTCTCTGTCCCCTGCTGCTCTGGGGGAGGAGGGGGAGTCTCCTGAGCCACTCAGATGGGAAAGTCCTTAACTCAGTCCCCTCCCTCCTCAGCAGCCCAAGCTTTACACTGGATGCAGCGGTCACCCCACCACTCACCAAGTTTCTCCCCCCCCCCCCCCTCCGCTTCCTTGGCTCTCAGCTCAGGAGCTGCTCCTAGTAGTTGGTTCATCCTTCCTCCCCTCTCCCTCCTCCCTCCCCTCAGTGCTTACTTGGCTCCAGCCCTCCAGCTGCAGCCTCTGGGGAGAAGCAGCCCCCCTTCTTTTCCTCCCTCCCCCCTGCCTCTGCCAGGTGCCTCCTCTCAGTCAGGCTTCAGAGCAGCCCTGGAGACAGGAGGGCCATGTTAAAAGCTTTCTCACAGTTTTGAGAAGACAGGGGGGGTGAGGATAGTGGTGGGGGGTCTGGCACTATCTCGTCATTGCTTTAATCCCAGCAACACAGGTGGCAGCTTCTCTCCCCCTCCCACCCAGCCCCCTTTCCACCCTCTCCTCTCCTTGGTAATGAAGTCTATTTATTGGCGAAGGAAACAGCTGCTGCTCCTCCTGCTGCTGGGACTTGCTCCCCTGTCTCTTCTTCATGACCTTTCTCCAGCCAAGGAGGGGAGAGCCAGGAGGATTGGGGCTGGGCCCTGGGCCCACAGACCAGCAGGGGCCCCTTTGCTTTCCTGTGTTCGAGCTGCCCACCATTTCCTCTCTCCCTGCTTTCCACCCACCTGCCCTCCCTCCTCCCCACTGCGCCTGCCTGTCTGGCCCTGGCCCTGCAGTGTGGAGAGACACATAAGCCTTACTGTTCTCTGGGGGCAGGAGCCGAGCCTTTTTGTTGCTCCGCTCCCAGGAGAGTGAGGGTGACGCGATTGATTAAAACCGTTTTGTTCTAGGTATGGCTGGTTGCATTTGTGCGGCGCCGACGGGTATTGGGACCAAAGTGAGGGTACCTGGCCCCTCACCTCTGTAGCTCTGTAACCTTGAGTAACCACACCTCTAGCAGGCAGATGAGGCCTGCTGGGAGCGTGCCTGTGAGATGGCCGCCCAGCCTAGCAGGGCTCAGCCCAGAGCCGGGCGCTCACTGGCTGGCTGGCTGTGATTTGCAGTAATCAGCTCTCACTCTCCGGGCTGTTTTCTCATCCGTAAAATAAGGAGGTTAGGATCTTAGTGGTTTTTCAGACTTTTCAATTAGAACCTAAACAAGAAATAGATGTTTTACATTGCGACGTAAGATACCTATTATTTGTGTATATAGACAATGAACATACGTTTTATACAATAATACCTTTGCTACATGCAATGTGTTCTATTTACCATTCTATTTTATTAATGAGAAAAAATACTGGTGATAACCCACTAAATTTATTTCACAGCCTTCAGGGTTTGGAGGATTCCTTAGACCAGGGGTTCCCAAACCTTCTTAACTTACCCTTACCCCACCATTAGTGTCTCAGTCATTTTTTTCATAGAGCCCCTAACCCAAAATAAATGCCTTACAGTTTGACTTATTAAGTAGTTGAATCAATAAGAAGTTATGTCTTACCAAGCCATTTTAAAAATATTATATATAAATGAAACAACATTTTTATTTATTTCTTAAATGTCTACAATAATCGGTGGAATCCGTGTGCTTGTTAAGGCACTGAAAAACATGTCAAACTCCAATCAGATTGGAAACACCACCCTCACTTCCTGTTGCACACTGACTTTTATTTGCTTCTTATCATAGCAGCCACTAGAAATGCAGGTTCTCAAAGAGGACATTAAAAGAATGTAGCACAGCCTACTGATGAAATTGAACTACCGTGTTTCCCCGAGACCTAGCGCATGGAAAGATAAGACATCCCCTGAAAATAAGACCTAGCGCAACTTTGGGAGAAAAAATTAATATAAGACACTGTCTTATTTTCGGGGAAACAGGGTAGTAGTTCTCTCCGTCGCCAACAGATGTTGACTATCTCAAATTTTAAACATTCTCCTGTGCCCCCTGTGAATTCAATGTGGCACCCCGAGGTGCCTTGATGCACAGTTTGGGAACTGTGCCTCAGTGCTGTAGGAGCGATAGTCTCACTACTGAAGTTTCATTATTTTTCCTGTTTGCTCATTTGAAAACCAGGCTGGGACCAGCAGGGTATGCTCAGCTTCGAACAGGAGACTGGCAGGAAAGCGGCCCTGCCGGAAGCAAGTGCTGTAGGCTGGGGTCACTCCTCTGTGTTCCCAAATTGACGTCTGCAGAAGCTTTTTCAAAGCATTTGCTGACCAGGCAAGGGAAAGGCATTTGCTGACCAGCCAAGAGAGTGAAGTGCAAAGTCCCAGAATCCCTGCCGGAGCCTGAGGAGCTCAGTTCAGCTGCCCTGCAGAGGGCGGGGTGGCCTGTGGATGAAGGAGCCGTCACACTGTGGAGGCTCCCCGGGCTTGGTGAGAGACTGGGCTTCATCCTGTGAGCAAGGAGGAGCCAATGGGGCCAATATGTCACTAGGAGTTCCCTTTCTTTTGGAGTTACTACTTATTTATTTATTTATTTATTTATTTATTTATTTATTTTTAGATATTCCAGTTGATTTTTATAAATTTTCTGACCGTTTGATTTGGGGATAGTGTGAAAACTTGGTCTGGTAATGTCGACATATGTTGTATTCTTGTAGCACAGATATAGGTCCATTGCCTGAATAAGGGAATTGACCAGCGTTCCTAAACTCTCTGCAGCTTGGATTCTAAAGTTACTACTTTTTAAAAAATATATAGTTTTAGGCATACAGAAAATTGAGCAGATAGTACAGAGTCCCAGATACCTCCTTTCTCCCTGATTAAGTTTCCCCTATTGTTAACATCTTGCCCTAGTATGGCATATTTGTTACATTTAATGAACCAAAATTGATACATTATTATTAACCACAGTCTTTAGAGTTCACCCTTTGTATTGTACAGTTCTGTCGGTCTTGACAAATGCATGATATCATGTATCCACCATTACACTGGCATACAGAATCATTCACCGTGCTCCACCTTGTCAGCCCTCATCAGCTGCCCTTCAATAAAAAGGAAGTACTTAGGAGAAAATAATTTGCAAAATACATCAGATAAAGGACTTATATCCATAATATACAAAAAAAACAACAACAATTCTTAACAATATGAAAATCACCCAATTTAAAAAACTGGGCAGAAGATCTGAATAAAAATCTTACCAAAGAGGACATACAGTTGACTTAATAAACATGAAAAGACGCTCAACGTTAGGTCATTCGGGAATTATAAATTAAATCAATGAAATACTACTTACACCTTGAGGATGGCTAGAATAAAAAAGCGACAAGACCAAAGGATATGGAGCAACAGGAACTCGCACTCGTTGCTGGCGTGAAAGCAGAATGGTACAGCCACTTTGAAAGACAGTTTGGCGGTTACAAAGGAATGTAGCCTTGCCATAGGATCCAGCAATTGCTCTCCTTAGTATGTACCTAAATGAATTGAAAACTTGGGTCCATGCAAAAACCTCCATGATTGTTTATAGCAGCTTCAGTCATAATTGCTAAATTCTGGAAGCAACCAATAAGTCCTTCAAAGTGGAAATGGGCAGACCGTGGCACGGCCATGCAATGGAATGTTGTTCAGTGACAAAAGGAAATGAGCTCTCGCCAGAGACATGGAGGAACTTGAAATGCATGTTGCTCAGTGAAAAGGGCCAGTCTGAAAGCCACACTGTATGATTCCAACTATATGACATTCTGGAAAAGGCAAAACTAGAGACAGTAAAAAGACCATGGTGGTCCATTTTTTATGTGCTTCCGCATGTGTGACATCCAAAGCTTTCACTCACCCTGCCGATGCTGATAGCCTGGGGCAAAGATAAGCCTCCACAGCCAGGGTATAGCAAAGCAGACAGAAGCGGGACCCCTGTGTCTGGTGGGCAGGTGTAGCCCCAGAGGGCCGCTGCCAGTCTTTGTGCTTAGGAGCATGCTGGAATGTGATTGCAGAGCTTAAAAGGCAGAGATCATCTAGCTCAGAGGTTCTTAATTTTGCCTATACATTAGAGGCACCCAAGATACTTTTAAAAAGGACCGATGCCCCACCCCAGGGATTCCATTTTAATTGGTCGGAGATGGGTCTCCGGCATCCACCCATTATTTTAAGTCTGAAATTCGTTCTAATTACCAACAGAGCTAAGAACCACTGACCTGGCCCTACCCCACATTGTACACACAGGGACAATGAATTCCAGAGGGGCAGGAAAAGGATGGGCTGCCGAAGGACCCCAGTGAGTTAGAAGCAAGTTCAGGACTGGATCCCTATCTCTGATTCCTGGCCCAATGCTTTAGAAGTCACTTTGTTAGGTAATGCCATGTCCTTTTAGCTCCTCTTATGTGCCTGGCACTGGCTTACTGAAAATGCACACAACAAACTCCCCCTGCCCTCCCAGAGCCGGCACAGATTCTGGAAGACGTGGGATAGCAAATACGGAGGTTGTGCAAGATCCCTGCATGGATTTCACTGGGAACTGTGAATCCTCCCCATACATCTGCCAGGGAAGGAGGGCATACTGATGGACGCGATGGCAGACGTGAGGCACTCTATTGTTTGGATCCAAAGTAGGTTCTGGCCCAACTCGTGTGGCTCAGGTGTTGAGCATTGACCTATAGGATCCAGGAGGTCAAAGTTCCATTCCTGATCAGGGCACATGCCCAAGTTGCCAGCTCAATCCCCAGGGGGTGTGCAGGAGGCAGCTGATCGGTGATTCTCTCCATTGATGTTTCTATCCCTCTCTCTTCCTCTCTGAAATCAATAAAAATATATATTAAAAAAAGAAAATAGCTGAAACCGGTTTGGCTCGTGGATAGAGCGTTGGCCTGCAGACTGAAAGGTCCCGGGTTCAATTCCGGTCAAGGGCATGTACCTTGGTTGCAGGCACCTCCCCAGTAGGGGGTGTGCAAGAGGCAGCTGATCGATGTTTCTAACTATCCCTCTGTCTTCCT